ATTTTTGACAATGATATTAAATGAATGGTACAGAGGTTGAGGTTGTAAACTAAGAAAATGCCAACCCCTCCTCTCCACCCAGTGAGTTGAAGATGAAGAGCATGGCATGTATGGGAAAGGAAAATGGCCTCCACTAGAGTGGATATAAGGAAAAGAGGAAGTATGTAGTTGAAGGGAAACCGGAATTGAGTTTAGGCAAGTTAATGTTAAAGTTTGACTATAGGAGTTCTTGTCCATTTTTGAATAGGATACCCAAACAGAACATTAAAAGGGTTATTGGAGGAAAAATTAAAATTGGGGAGAGATGAGGATGGAGGTGGGGTTGGAAAAGGATAGATCTGTAAGAATATTTACCTTACTTGCCCTTGACAGGATAGATCAAGCAGTACCTCTTCTAGGAAGCCTTTTTTGTCTCCCCTCTACCCCAACAGTTCCTTCTTTGTGTTGCATTAGCTCTGAACACTTATAAATTTGCACTGTAATTGTTGGTTTGCTCATCTGCCTCTCCCCTGCACTATAAGCTTCTTAAAAGGTTTGACTCTTTCTCATCTTTGTGTCCCCAGACATGACACATGCCTGGGCATAGATAATTCTTAACATACATTTGTTGGGTTAAAAAATGAATGAATGTGAGTGCAGTGCTGATGTGTACCTTTAGGACATATCCTCTTGAACTTAACCCATCGCCCTTGCTCACAGTGTTCGTTGGGCTGTCCATTGGAAATATGATGTGAGCCACATATGAAATTTTCTAGTAGACATGTTAAAAAATAAACAAATGAAATTAATTTAATAATAATATATTGTATTTAACTAAATATATAAAACATTATCATTTCAACATGTAATCAACATAAACATTATTGAGATACTTTACATTCTTTTTGTTTTGTACTCTCTTCAAAATCTGGTGTGTATTTTACACTTACATCACATCTCAATTCACATGAGGCACATTTCAAATGCTAAATGGCCACATGTAGCAAGCAGCTACCGTACTGTAGAGTGCAGTTCTATTAATAGATTCTAGAGACTATGGAGTTCTTTCCTTTTCAATGGTCTCTGCACTTGGAGTTTTCTCTGTTTGAATTATTCTTCCTCTACCTCTTTTTAAGAATATATATATTTTTAATATATCATCTATAAAAGATTATCTGTACCTATTACAATGGACTGAATGTTTACGTCCTCCTAAAATTCATGTTGAAATTCTAATCTTCAAAGTGATAGCATTAGGAGGTGGGGCCTTTGGGAGGTGATTAGGTGACACCACCAAATTGGATTAGATGAACGACAGAGTGGGCCCTCATCAGACATTTACTCTACTGGCACCCTTGCACTAGTGAATACAGAGAACAATAAAATGAGAAACAAAAAAAAGAAAAGAAAAAAAGGATAAAAGGAAAAATAATAATCTACCGGCACCTTGCTCTTGGGCTTTCCAGCTCCAAAACTATGAGAAATAAATTTCTGTTGTTTATAAGCTACTTAGTTTATGGTATTTTGTTACAGCACCCTAATGGACTCAGACACATATAATGTACATACATATGTAAATATTTATATATATGATGTATACAAATAGTATAGAGATTAACACAATGAAAGTTTAGTTTTTGCAGATTCAAAGTCTGATGAAAATCAGACAGCTCTGTGACATTTGCAAGGAAAAGAAAGGTTTGGAGAATATGCAGGATGTTTGTAAATGTCAGGCTTAAAAAATTCCATTGACCTTAATTTAGTCATATGACCCCATGCACATGCAAGGAAGGCTGACAAATACAGTCTTCCTGTGTACCCAGACAGAGAAAATGGTGTGATGAGCACATTGTATCAGTGTCTCTGACACAATTCCATTTTTTTCCTTCCTAATTTTTTGGCTGGCTTCAATGGAACAGTACTAGATACTGAATAACAGGGGTGACAAAGAACAGTTAAATCTCACCTCTGACTTTCATTCCTGATAATGAAAATTTTTTCATTATGTCTCCATTAAACAAGACGGTAGATTTTGGATTGATATTTGTATATTTCATCATCTTAAAGAAGTTTTTATCTCTTTAAGATTTTTATTTAATGAGCAATATATGTCTAAATTTGTCAAATATCTTTTCAGCAACTATGGAGATAACCATATAACTTTCTTTTTGATAGCTTAATATTGTGAATTATATTGGTAGATTTCTTAATGTTGAACTATTTTTCTAACTCCTAGAATAAAGTCTAATATATTGTGATACAAATATAAAATATTTTTGAAAAGCTCCATTATGTTTGCTGCCAATTTATTTAAATTTTTGGCATCAATATTCATAAGTGAGATTGAGCTATAGTTTATTTTAATTATTTTTGTCATGTTTCATAATTCATAAAGTAAAGCTTTATGGAATCTTTTCTGAACTCTAAAATCTCATCTCTGTAAGAAAACCTTTCCTAATTAACCTCATTTGGTTCTAATCACTCTTCTACTTAGCAGCCTCTCAGAACTTTCCAACATATTACACCTCTGGATGCATCACCTGGTCTCTTGCTATGTTATTCTCTGTGCATGAGTGCGGTACAACTCCCATTTGGCTGCAAACTTCTTTGATGCATCTGTGAGCCCTTTGGTGGTAATAATACTAACACTAAAAAGCTAACATGGCGGGCTTATTATGCTCCAGACACAATGCTAAGTAATTTACTGGCAGAGTATTTAGAACACTGTTTGGCATATAGTAAGCCATTAATACAGGTTTGTTATTCTACTATTTATAGCCTAATTAACTTGGTGTTATTATTATCTCCATTTCACAGATAACAAAACTGTGAGGCACGGAGAGTTACATAACTTGCCCAGGGTCACAGAGCTCATTAAGTGGCAGAGACAAAACTTGATCCCAGTCTGTTTGACGCCAATATCATCCATGTTCTTAATCATTACCAAAAAAAAAAAAAAAATTTCTAAATACACACACACACACACACACACACACACACACACCAATTCTTTTTGCAATGGTACTCTTGCAGTTTTCAGAGCAGTGTAAGTTGTACTCAAGGCAGGTTTTACTTTGGCATTAATTCCCCTTTTAAAATTTAACTGCCTTAGAGATCTGAGGAAAAAGTCACAAATATTTTTATCTCCCTGGAGATTTTTATTTTGAAATTGAGAGGCCACTGAAATATGTGTCCTTAGAGAAAACAATGTGTTTTTTTTTTCAAAATTTCTAAATTGCTAAGGAACTCAGTTTTTGATTTTAACTATTAATATGCAGCTTCAGTCAGCCTCTTTAGCTATATTTTCTTTAGTACTTCTCAGCCACCAATACCTCATATTTGTTCTGGCAGGAAGAGCTAGACCGTGTCAAAGGCTGAACAATGTTAGAAATCCATGGGTATATTGACAATACCAATGATTAATAATGGTATTAGAGACTCAACTCTGATCAAGTAATACATCTTCTTAAAGTTATCTTGAGTACATTTTCATTAGATGCTCACAATGGCTCTGTACTGTTACAGCTTTTCTCCTAGTCACGTTGTGAGGTTATAGAGGGAGAAATGCCCACCTCTGTCTGCTGTTGTCTCTCCCGGGTTCTAAAGAGAGGCCTTTCCCGTCCCTCTCCTCTCCCTTCCTTCTCCTCCTTCTCCCTCTCATGGGCTGCCCTGCCCTTTCCTTCCTTAGCTGTCTGAGCCTGCTTGAAGGGAACGGAGGATCGCTGGACCCTGGGGCCTGGAGCCCTCTGAAAGGCTCCCCGGGTCTTTGCCGAGCAGTCGGGTGACAGACTCTCAACCCAACCAGACCTGGTGCCCTAACTCTTCCCACAGCGCCCAGATCCCGTCTCTGGAAGTTACAAGACCTGGGGCTCCGCCCACCCCTCCAGCCACAACCAGACACAGCTGCCTCCCTCCTGATTTCCACTGGGCTGAACGAATGGGCTTGAAGGCGACTCCAGATGCAGGAAGCGCATCGCGAAAAACGTGTCATTTGGAAGAAAGTCCGTTTGCTACAGGGACTGCAGTTGGCAGCTGCAGCCAAGTCGGTTGCGAGAAAGGCTCCCCACCTGGGGAAGCGAGGCGGCTCGCGTGTGCGCTCGGCGGGGAGGGCGCGGCGGCGGCGGCGGGACTCGAACCCGGTCGTGGAGGGGCGCCCCGCGGGGTCCGGGCCGCGGCCCGGCAGGCTAGCCCGGGTTGGAGCTGGCGGAAGCCGGCGAGCACAGCTGTCTTCGGTTGGACTAAGGCCTCCGCTCCCTGCCGGCTCCCCTCTCTCCCGCCTCCCGCCCCAGAAATGATCTCAAGCGTTGCCCGTTTGATTCCAGAGCCCCGCTCGGGTGGGTTCTTTTGTTTCTTTGTTTTAATGACAGTCCCCAGCTCTTCGGCATGTCATGCGCAATTAATTCTCTGGCTCTCCCGAAGGCAGCTGGGGTGAAATTTCTTCTGCATCATCCTTTTGGGGATAATTGTTTGTGATGTGACGTCAGCTAGATGGATTTTTCTCTCTTGAATGGGGGAGAGGAGAGAGAGAGGAGCGAGGCGCACAGATGTGCACGGAGGCCACAGACACTGGCGTGTGGGATTCCTTCAGGGCAAAGGGAGGCTGGAATTGGAACGGGAGCTTGAAAGCGTGCTGCTAGGATCTCAGGCTGCACAGAATCATTAAGAAGTTTTTCTTAAAAAAGAAAAAAATCCTCTCCACGGCGAGCTACTTACGTGCTCCTTTCATGCCAGAGCCCCCGTTAGGGTGGCAGCGCCTGATAATTAATCTCGGGCACCCGGCCGCTGCTCCGGGGTTAAGACGACGACGAGGAGGGGCGGGGGACGTGCGTTACCAGGTGGGGAAGGGGCTGTGTGTTCGGTGACCGGCGGGAGGCGTCGGGGGCGGCCGGGAATGGGGACGGGAAATAGGTTCTGTGTGCTCTCCGGGGGTATTGTGTCAGGAGATGCAGGCTGCCTACCATGTGACGCGGTCCAGGGCTGAAGGGATTGGCCGCGGCAGCGCAGGCGGCGCAGCTCGGCCGGCTTGCTTTTCCTCTCCTTTCTCTCTCAGCATCTTCCTGGCAGCCTGTAGGTGAAGCAGCACCGGCGGCATCCATGGCCTGTCTTTCGGGTTAACCCTTGTCCCCTTTGGCTCCTGCAGCGGACAGAGCAGACCTCAGCAGCGGCGTTGTGAGGACTTAGCCCGGACCTGGAATCGTATCCTCCTGTGTTTTTTCAGATTCCTTGGAAATTAAGGAATGCAATTCTGCCACCATGATGGAAGGTAAGGATGCTTTCTGCTTTGGTTGACTGGCTTCGGACAAGGTTTGGGCAGAACAGCATTAAAGAATGTGTGCAGCCGCTGTCTGTGGCGGTCCTAGAACCTGGTTGCCAAGGTTTTGCAAGCTGAAATGCTGCAGTTTGCTTGCAGCGGACCACAGAGCTCAGACTAATGGAATCAAACCACAGGGCTTCTGCCTGGCTCAGAACCTACAGAGCTCCCAGCTCCTTTGAGAGAGAAAAGCCTAAAGTGTTCGCAGGGAGCTGAGACAGAGCTAGGAAAGAGCTCGCAGAGCAAATAAGTTGGGTGAGAAGATAAGGTTTTCTGTTCTGGGTTCCTGGGACTACACTGATTAAACATTTACAATGGAAACTTGTTTTCTGAAATTGACATTAGACAGGAGAGGTCATTGACAGAGTTATCCATACTGTCATTTTCAGTAAACTGTTTAAAAAATTTTTTAAGTCTCGTAAGATATTTTTATCTGTGCAATTTACATCATATTGCTGGGATGAGAGGTACAGCAAATTTGGTCTATAAACTGTAGTTTTATGGGGATGTCATTGCAACAGAATGAGTAATATACGGAAAATATCCGGGCCTCTTAGCTTCCGATTCAGGATCTTATCAGGTTAAAAAAAAAATTTGTGCTTCCAAATGCTTTCCTGTGCAATGGTTCTTAGCCAAGCATCAAATGATTGCTTACTGATTATCTTTTGCATTTAATAATTAAGTGTAAGGAGGAAGTTTCCCTGGGGAGATGCTATTTAAACTATATTTTATTCTACTAAATTACCCTTCCCAGCTTGAAATAGTGACAGCAAGGATTGCCTCAAAAAAGCAGCAAGCTGATTGGGAAAGAAGCAAGCAGCTCTATGCTAGCTTTGATTTTCTGTTTTCACACTACAGGATGGTGCAAAACTCCTGGCCTTTCCTAAGATGACAGGCAGAAATTTGTCCCCAGCCTGGATTTCACAATGCAGAATTGAGTGCATAATGGGTCTCAAATCAGCCATGAAAATGGCAGAGAGGCCACCTCTTAAGCCAAGGTCTGTCCTATGGATTTTAACCGTTCCTCAGAAATTTACCAAAATGGAATAAGAGGAGGATGGCTTCACAAAAACAGCACTGTAGCCGTACTTATTTGGCAGAAATGAATTCTTTTTGCTTTCTCTGTCATCATGTCAAACATTGCTAATGTGATTTGAGGGAGTGAAGAATTCTGGAGTCAAAACCCACAGATTTTAGAAAATAGCTTTAAAAGAGAGATTGGGTATCATTTTATTATGGAGCCTGGTCTTGTTTGCAAAGGGCTCTCAAGCTAGTTCTTTAAGTACAGGCCTAAATAGAGATTGCTAATACTCTTAGATTAAATTATTTTTGTTAATTCAAAATGGATTTAATCTTTGAATAATAAGACAAGACAGAAAGAGTATTATTTATGTACTTTTCAATTAAAAGCTCATGTGGATTATCTTCAGAAAAAAAATCTGTGTATAGAATTACTCTATTTCTCCAGATAAATTTCATATAGCACTTTTAAAAAATGCATCTGCACACATTCTGATTTCAATCTTACATAGGGAATTGGAAAAATCTTTCCTTTTACTTCTTGCCTTGCAAACTAGGGAGCTAAAGTGTCTTCTTTTTGAAGGCAGTAACATTTTTTTGATGCTCATTAATAATTCTCCTGGTAATATGGTCTATTGTGCCATCCCAGAATGTCAGTTCAAAGCTCTGTGATAAGCTTATCTGAGCTGCCTAAACTGAAATGAGAACTGTAACAAAGACTTGTGTTGGAGCTGAATTAGCACTATTGCTCTGGGTTTGCCAAATTTATCTAATGAAGGATGTTATCTTAACACTGGTATGAATTAGAGGTGACACTATGGATACAATTGCCTTCCATCAGATCCTTCCAAGAGAAATTGGACAGATGTTCCCACTGGCTTAAAAATTTAAATGAAACTTTTTTTTTTCTACCTATTTAAATGCTTTTCAAGCCTTAATATCTTAATGGTTCTGTGACCTTAGAAAGGCAGGTAGGAACCTTAACCAAAAATCAATTTGCCCATCAATGGCCTTCCAACTTAGTTGTCATTCTTTTTGGCAATGTATATTCTTGTTTCTGATATTGCATCCCAGAATTTCACCTTTGAAATGCTCTTACTCTGAAGGTGTGGTATATATCATTATTGTTTCCACTTCACTCATCCCTAGAGAAAGCCACACTGTTACATCTATTGCAATAACCTTGGAAAGATAAGGAACCCCCTAAAAGGCACCCTAAAATCCTGTCATGGCAGCCCTCTGCTGAAACATCCGTGAACTCTGAGAATGTGCCACCAAACATCTAGATAGTTAAAAGGATGTTTCTTCTCAACTAGATGTGTCTCACACACACACACACACATGCAGTCATCCACACAAACTTGTTTCTAGAGAGGGAGAGAGCATACATTTGCCCTCGTGTGTGCATTTCTATACTGCTAAAGTGTTTTAGTGTGCTGCTCAGAAAAAGCAAGGCCATGGCAACTTTTCAAAGCCACTTCTCTACTTTGTGTAAAGCAAGAGTAAATAAATATTCAGCAGAAGAGCTCACAGTAAACTGTGTTTTGTTTGTGTGGAACAGGATATAGGCTCCATTCATTCAATGTCTATTGGAAGTCCTGGTCATAGATGAGGAACGTCACTACCTCCCCAGTGATTCCAATGTTGTGGGAAGCAGCAAAATAATTCTGCAGGGACCTCAAGCAGGTTATCAGTAGTTTGTGGCTCCATGATTCATTTCACATATTTTTTGTTTAAAAATATATACATTTTAAGGGACTTGATCCATTGCTTTCTGTGTAGTTTTTTTTCTGGCAGTGGCTGGTAACGAGTTGTTTCTTTCCTGCAGAAAGCCACATGATGTGGAGCCTTAGGTAGTGTGAATGTGGAGAGAAAGAGGGTGAGCAAAGGGAATTATTCACTAGGGAATATGTGCATTGGCTAAGCTTACAATGCAGTCTATGTGTTAGGGCAACTATTAAAGGACTATTTTATTTATACATCATTATTAAAAATTTGAAAATGGCATTTTTTAGCTGTGCTTCCTCAGATAAGTGAGGGTTTCTGAGGATATCTGTTTATTTGCAAGGCCGTCTGGAAAGTACTTTCCTGTCCACGCAGACCTATCTGAAGGTGTTCTGTGTTGTTAGTTCCACATTCAGGGTCTTAGGTATTGTTATATATAGAAAGATACATTTCTGAAGGCCAGTGGTTTCATTCCATACAGCAATTTTAAAAATTAACAAGCCTATTTTTAAGGGCTTACTGGGTTTAACTGCAATGTTCAGAGTAACTTAATAAATTGTATTTATTTGCTACTTACAATAACCTTCAAATAATTAGTCTGTATACAGTGCCTTTTGCAGAACTTTTTCTAAATTCCAAAAATAAAAAAAATAATACATTGAGGAAAAAAAAAAAAAAATGGTGGAATGGAATTTGAACCCAAGTCCATTTCACAACAAAGCTCATATTTTTGACCTTCTAGGAACCTTTTCTTTTTACTTTGCATCATAGTGGGCATGTTAACCTAATTAAAAAATAGGCCTTAGTTTCTGTGGTTGCTTATTTTGTCTTTGTCTATCTTAAATGTGAGTACCCACAGAACCATACCCTGTAATTCCTTGTTAATGCATTTTATGTCCAAAATCATTATTTAGAAAATTTTGCATAATTCAAGATTATTGAACTTCTGTTGTTTCAATAAACCTTATAAACAGTAAAGGATTTTTTTTCCATCTAGAAATGGAACCTTATATTTGATAAATTTTTTGATGTGATCAAAAAGGAACAAAGCATCTTGAAATTGGAGCTGTTTGCTTTATAGTTAGCTAAGAAGTTTTAAAGGGAATGTTTCTAACTCTCCTACTGATTTCCTTCCCTTAAATGGTGAAATTACTTTCGAAAACCTAAGCATGCATATGAGATGCTAATGTATGTTCTATCACTTATGTAATTTCTCTCCTTCCCCGGGGCTTTGAGTCAGAAAGAGCCTCTTTGGATGTATATGTTCCCATCCAAATTCCAGGGGTCAACTTTAAATCTCTGAAAAGAATATCTAGTTTTAAACAAAATTAACTTCTATAAACTGTGCCAGAAGACTCTGGCTAATTCTTTCTGTTACATTTCACACATACGCTATCCGTGTTTCAAATAAACACACTGCAAAAAGTCACCAACTCACGATTTTTATGTTCCTGAAATCTTGTCTGTGAGTCGGTTAGTTGGAACATATTTTCCCATAGGAATAATGATGTAAATGATGGTGACAGTCTCACACTAGTCCACTAAAGGCTATTAACCCGATGTCTAACTAAAATACTAAATATTTTCCATGAAATGTGTAAAGAATAGTATGGTTACCATAGTAATAAGCCAGAAGAGAACGATGGCATTAAATGTGTTTTTAATTTTGAATGCTGCTACTTGAGGGAAAGAAGCTTTAATTAAAAGACAATGAGGAGCCGGAGAGAAAATTTGTAGATATTTCCAGAAAATGTTTAGGTATTTTCAGAAGTTTTAGAGACTCATAACACTGGATTTTTCAATTATGTTCAATTTTACTTCCATACTTGTGGCTTACCTTTTCTCAATTCAATTTTATCCTATGAACCTGTTAAATTGTGAGTAAAGTCATTACATAAACTCATAAATGGAATTAAGAGTGGGAAAGAGAATTTACTGAGATGGCTATAAAGGGATTGAGAGAAAAGGGATCAGGGTTTATAATGGATCTGGGCTCATGTGTCTGAAAAAGTCCCAGAGTAGAAATTAACTGAATAAGGAAGAAGTCATGGATAGAAGAGAACTGGGGAGCATGGTAAGACCAGTATCCCCCTGAGGAAAGAGTAGGCGTGAGGCAGAGGTATTGGCTTAACTGGTTTGTGTGCTGACCACCAGATCTATCTACGGGCGCAGAATGGCGAGCTTACCAGTGGGAGAGATATTGGGAT